GAATGGTTGGCGCACCATTCTCAAGAAGAGATAAGCAAGAAGTGAGGTTCTTGTCATAAGGAGGAATTCCTTGATGAAAGAACTTAAGGAGAAGGATTATACTAAGAGAGATTTGAGACTGAGAGAGAATTCAAAAAAGTTATTCTCATATAACATCCAAAGTGGTATGAATTTACAAGGCATCAAAATATATAGAACTAGGTAGCTTAGACAGCAAACTAGGCTAACCATGATAAAAAAAAAATATAAAAAAAATCATGGTTGTTTAACCATGGCACCAAAAACCCTTGGCTCTAGAAGCCATATGCTTCAATGTGCTCTAAATCTAGACTAGCCTACAAGAACTTGTACTATTTGTTATCCGATTCAATTAAATTTAATTAGAAGAGTTTGGATTGCATTTATTAGAGGGGAAAAATTGCAATCCAAACCAAACAAATTCAACTACAATTAAATTAGTTTGAATTGAGTCATTGAATTTAACATTTAAAAAATTAAAAAAATTTAAAAATGTAAAAAAAAAATGTTATATTCGTTCTCATGTAGTATGGTAACAAAAGCGTAGCTACACTTAAACTCTAACCCTATCAAATTGAGGGATAATAAAAATATAGATTTATAACTATGTGTAGACTATGAAGTGTGAGGACCCCTTTTTCTTTTCCTTCCTCGGATTTGTTCGACCTCAAATAGCAACGCGAGGAGTCATTGAAGGACTTCTTACAAAGGTTCAATGAGGTCGCCTTGAGGATAGCGTCCTTGGACGAAAGGATGGCAGTCATCGCGTTCCAGAAGGGCTTAAGGTCTGGAGCTTTTGACATCGCGCTCAAAAAAATGAATTGTCAAACGATGTCGGAGGTGAGGGCTTTCGCCTTGAGTCACATCAAGACGGAGGAAGGACAATTCAACAAAAGGGCAGCTGAAAGCCGAGAGGCAGGGGGCAGCAATAAGGAGGACAACAAGCACCTCCGGGTACGCTCAGATTGGAACAAGCGACGTGATCACTATAATGCGAAGGAAGGGAATCGCAGGCAGACAGATTATGGTGGTCGGGCGAAGGGCGAGTGGGCGCGAAACAACGAACAGGAAAAGTTCACCCCACTCAACGTCCCCAGGAGGCACATACTCCATGACGTCAACAACGCGTCACTTTTTGAGTTCCCGGCAGCGACTGATCGTCAGTTGGGTCCTTACAAAACTGACTGGTGTGAATTTCATCGGACCCATGGACACACTACGGAGAATTGCTTCGTTCTCGGTAGGCAGATTGAGTGTCTTATCAAGGAGGGTCGCTTGAAGAAGTTCATTGCAGGTAAGCATGATGAAGGCTCGTTCGACAGACAACGCAGCCATGAAGGGGAAGATGTGAGAGGAGGAAGACGCAAAGGGAGGTCTCCTCTGAGAGATGTTCCTGAGAAGAGTTTAGAGACTCACTAGCAGGCTGTCCATGGAGATTTTAACACCATAACGGGGGGATTTGCTGGAGGAGGTTCGACATCAGCAACAAGAAAGAGATACTCTCGCTTGGTGTTATCGGTCTCGGATTGGGTGAGACCCACTTGACCAGCCATCACATTCTCGGACGCCGACTTTGAAGGGGTGTCTCCCCATGAGGATGACCCCATAGTCATTTCAGCAATCGTCATGGGCTACAATGTAAAACGTGTGTTGGTAGACCAAGGAAGCTCGGCAAACATTATGTTTAGGGAAGCTTTTGTCGGGATGAAAATTCTGATTGATCGCCTTATGCCATATGCAGGTACGCTGGTTGGTTTTGCAGGTGATCAGGTAACGGCGAGGGGCTGTATTATGCATGAATGAATAAGTTAGTGCTTCCTAGCAGATTTGGATGATTACTGTAGTTTTTCCGATTTTCTAATTTTCTGCTTGCTTTTTCTGTCAGGTACACTATTTTGTACTTGTTGCTGTTCGTTGTTACTTTAATACAATACTTTGTTACCTCTCTTTCTTCTCCAGGGTAATAAAACTTTTTTGTTTACTTATGATGAAATCAATAATGAGTGTGATGAGGAGCTGCGATTTTTGTTATTTGTTATTTTTTTTTGGCATAAATTATATATCTGCCTAGTGTGATTTATTTTGCTTTGCTAATTTTCTGTGCACAGCTATGTTCGTGATGCTATGATGGTTATTAACGAGAGAAATGTAGTATACAGAAAGGAACCGGAGGCATCAAAGTAGGCAATGCTACTTTTTCAGTATAAATTTATTATTAGGAAAAGGAAGGGATGTAATAACATGTGCTTTGAGGTAAACTTGTGTTTCTGGTCTCATCTAACTATTTATTTTTAATTTTATGTTGCTCAACTACATAATCCAATATAATTAACTCACCAAAATCAACAGTGATTACCCTGGCCAATGCAGTTACCAAGCCAAACACAATGATGATCAAACTGAAGAACACACTTGTCACAGTCATGACAATGCTTTGCTCGTGGAGGCTGTATAATGGCCACCAACAAAAAAATTGATCATCAAAGTTAAGAAGTTAAATTATTAGAACTCAAAAGAGAGGTCTCTAGTTTTCATTGTGCTAAGAAGGAACTCTTAATGTGCTAAAGGTCAAGTATATAACACAGGGAAAAAGCAGTTTACAAAATGCAGTTCAATCCATCTTGTCATTATCCATGGAAAAATTGCTTTCTCATGATTCTAATACAAGAATTCAATCCAAGATAAAAAATCGATTCTAGTATTTTTACTGAAATCTTGAACTCGTTTTTAAAAAGCAAAAACATTGACATTAAGCTGTCTTTTCTCTGTTACAAGGCAGGTTGAATTCAGAATTTTAGATCACAAATGACAAAACCAATACCCAAACAATGTTTTTAAAGATACAAGATGTAGAGTAACATCCAGGAAAGGTTAACAATATTATTAACAATCTGATGGTTATACTTAATAAAGATGCTTCAATACATGACTAGGGCAACACGTAGTTTCTTCCATCCTTGCAGTGAATTTTATGACTGTACAAAATGAAATGTTGACAACTAAAACCATCAAACGAATGCAGCACCATCACCCAAAGATGCATTGAAGAAGCAATAAAATATGAAATAACATATTACACATACAATAGCCCTAACATAATACAGATTACAGAATGTCATTTGTCATACCTGCTCCACATTGCAGTAGGTGCATGTCCATGTTCTGCAAGGAGAATTAAGCCATAAATAACTTGCGAAAATTCAACCAAAAATGCATGAAATTGTAGATGCCAAAGACAGTCCTATCTACCTGATTGTTGACCCAAAAGGATACAAGTCAGCCACCAACTTTGACCAAGATGTTGCATTGCTTCCTGAACCATATCTTCCCATCTGGTTTCCCTCCATGGAAACAACAAAGCTCCCATTTCTGCTCGACGCTGGTTGACTTTGCTTGAGCAACATAAAATTAAAAATAAATAGTTAGATGAGACCAGAAACACAAGTTTACCTCAAATCACATGTTAT